TCAGCTGTTCGCAAATGAAAAATCGCCTTTCAATATCTCTCGGTTTCAGTTCATAAGGCACTCAATTTCCTTGTGTTTGAATTATTCCCATGGCTCTCAATCGTGCAGAAACGGCTTGTTGAGTTACTCCCAATGATTCTGCAAGCTCCTCTTGCGTTTGAGTCTGACCTTCTTCGAGTAATACCTTTAATTCTTTGTCTTCGAATTTTTGTGGTTGTCCAGAGCGAGGCTTGTCTTCAACGCTGAAATCTCCATCCTTGAAACGTCGAAACCATTCCCTACATGATTTATCAGTTGGAGCAATGTCACCATAAACTTCGACAAGCATTTGATGGGCTTCAGCTGCACTTTTCTTCCAATTAAAGCAGAAAATTAGAACCTCCCGCAAATGCTGCTTGGTTAACACAAAATTCGACATTTCGAACACAGTAAAAATCAAGGTTTTTGTATGAAACTCAAAGCGATATAAACTGAATATTATTAGCAGATGTCTAACCTCTCTGAAAACGCGAAAATCAGCTGTCACTATGAACCATTCACAACAGCCGGAGCTATCTTTTGGAAAACGGACCGAACTAATTTGTACTCCCAATAGAATGATTGAACGTAAATGGTTAAATTCATAAGTAAGAACGAATCACTCGATGAGCAAACAGCATACCCATCGAAAAAAAAGTATTCCAATCTTTCTATGATCTTTCTGTATACATTTATTACATAAAAACTCGTTCTCGTCGAAGCCAATTGTGTCGGTTTATTTCCTTCTTAATAGAAGAAAAAGAAGACTATATGTCAATTAATAGCATAATCGGCTTTGGTGAAGATGAATTTCTATAATATTATATAAATATAACAAATAAATAACAATTTCATATCTATGATGTCATAGTGGCAAATTTTGCATTAATAAATGTTACATACGTATTTTATCTCAATACGTGATTGTCATACGTATGTATGTCAAACTATATATGTTGCCGTTTTGTATTTAGAACATGTCACTGTTATGTAACTACGATATGCAAAATAGAACGACAAATTTGAGAACATTTTCCGCAAATTTATGTAATAATTTTTGATATAACTGTTACCCAAGTAGCACAGCAGCACTTGTAAAGCGCTAAAAAAAAAGATTACATGCGCTTTTTTAACGTTTTATCAATGCTTTGTAAGCGCTATGTACTATTTGATTCCAAAAAATTATGATATTACATGTTTATAGGATATTATATGATTATTCGTACTCTTTTTCTTGAACATGTACTTTTTTTTCGGATGTCCAGACGGGTTTTCAATGTGTACTCTTTTTTGTATTACTTTTGGAACTTGGGAGCGAGAGAGGGGGTCGGATGTTATTAATTCACTATGACACATGAAAATGTCAGAGTGATCAGACGTCCAATTTTTTCTGAACATGTATTCTTTTTTTTAAAACGTCTGACGGCGTTCGGTCTGGTTTTTAGCATTCGGGTATACTCATTTTGAGAGAGAGAGAAAGAGAGAGGGGGGGGAGACCGGAAATTATTAAGATCATTACACATAAAATACTTATTATGTAATAGAATTTAAAAATTATTAGGTTATATTATTATATTATATTAAAGTTATTTTTTTGCTAATAGATACTAAATACATGTTTTCATGTTATTGGGACTTATAAATGTACTCTTTTTCTTTTACTTTTGAGTTCAAAGATACAACTTATTTTGTACTATACTTTACCTAAAATGTCCTCCTTTTTATCCTACTTTCGAATTTTAGTTTCCTACTTTCGTATTACTTTTCAATCAGAAATGTCCTGGTTTAGGAAGTTTAGATTAGATCTAATCGTCCTACGTGTTTGAGATGTATTTGTGTTTGTTGAGCAATGACTAAGCGAGAATTTGAATTGAACTTTTTGACTAAATACTGCATTGACTATTTGGCTGCATTGTCCAACTTCGCCAATCTCTGTACAGTCCAGATATAGCCCTGTGTGACTTCTAGTTATTTCATAAGTTGAAAAATCCGTTGAAGGGAAAAAAATTAGAAGTTAAAATGCAACGCTTAGAGTTTTCGACGATCACATAATTGCACGTTGCCGATTGAACAGCTGTTGGATCGTGTCGCTTGATGGGAGTACTCTTCAAAGTTCTGTCTAAATATTGAATGCCTGTTTGAGGAGGAAGGAGAGAGGGGGGGGAGAGAGAGAGAGAGAGAGAGAGAGAGAGAGAGAGAGAGAGAGAGAGAGAGAGAGAGAGAGAGGACAAAGATATATGCAGATATTTGGAGCAGATCTCATACGGATTACCGTTCAAAAACATGTCTTATCATATTTTTATTAATAATTCTATTTTTCATTCATAAAATATAAAATTATTATTATGATACATACTCTCTTATTTTTTATAATCACAATTATACTATCACAAAGTGTTCAATATAAAATCATGAATTGCCAAAAAATAATTAATAAATTATTAATAAATAAATTTCTCAAAAAGATAATCAAGTAAGTTAAAAATATATTAATTTCAAATTTTTAGTTAGCATCTATAAACATTTAAATATCACGACTAACAATAAAAAAAAATTGAAGTAATATATTTGCAGAAATTAAATGCCAGATTAAACATAAGTCTTTCATTAATGATTGAAAAAAGAATCGACAAAATGCCGATAGAGTTTGTCTTATGTTATCAAAACTCAAGGAGATTAAGATTAAAGTTAAAAATCAGAGAAAAGCTAAATTCTTTTTCCTAATTTTATACTCAAACAAATATTCTGTGGTTCTAATTAATGTCATAGGATTTTTCATTTATATACGACCTCAAAGAGATACTACAAAGAAGATCTACAAAGTAAAGGAGTTTCGTATAAGCATAAAATGCTGGATTTAGGATTGCAATTCTTTCAATGCTAGAAAAATGTCTTACTCGTACTGGCATGCATGCGTAGCTACGATAACACGTAAATGATGAACTTTTAACGAATAAGCGTGCTGCTGGTATCGTTTGTATATTCTCTTATTTCAAAAGGCTATTTGAGTTATTGTAATAGAATTTTCTATAAAAAAATTTGTTTTTGATCATGTGTCCTCATTTTTATAGACGAATACGTATTATAAATACAAGCGTCTGATTCATGTAAGATTTTTTGCTTAGAGGAAATGCTAAGAGGAATTTTCCGCTTATCGGCAGAATATTTTTTTGTGTAATGAAAACGTATAACAAATAAAAATATATATTGTGTGCAACTGTTTATGTTTCTTTTTTATGTTACAAAATTTTCATAAAAAGAGAGAATATGTTGAAACTTTTTAATGTATGTTGTCAGAAAAAGTGTACGACGATGTTAAAAAAGGTCAATTTACCCTCGGAATGCAAAATTACAATTAATATTTAAAAATTAATACATTAAAACGTTATTAACGAATTAAAACGTTCATAATGCTAAACAACAATAGATTTTAGATTTTAAACGTTTATATATACGAGGTCTGTTCAAAAAGTATCGCGAATTTTGAATTTCCGCGGGTTACGTATATTCGATTTTCGATTTTTTTGTGGCGTTTATGTTGATACTCATGTCTCTCACTTATGACAAGTTCGGCCATTTTGAATGTTCAGTTAATTTTTGACAGCTGCTTTGCTTGCACGTGTTTTGGCTCGTCTTCGATTTTTGCCTATTTCAAAAAATGGATCAAAGAATCTGTATCAAATTTTGTGTGAAAAACAAAATTAAGTGCGCGGACGCATTCCGAATGTTGACTGTGGCATATGGTGAAGCTACCTTGGACCGAAGCATCGGTACCATTTATCGGTGGTACAAAATGTTCTCAGAGGGCCGAGAAGATGTGAACGACGAAGAGCGTGCCGGACGCCCGAGCACGTCCACAACAGACGAAAACATTGATTAAGTGAAGAAAATAGTATTGGCCAATCGTTGAATCATCGTTAGAGAAGTTGCTGAGGACCTAAACATATCGATTGACTCATGCCATTCGATTTTTACCAATGATTTGGGCATGATGATAACGCCCCTGCTCACACATCGTTGCTTGTGCGCGAATTTTTGGCCAAAAACAACACACTAATGATGTTGCAGCCACCGTATTCCCCAGATCTGGCCCCCTGTGACTTTTTCTTGTTCCCGAAATTGAAGAGGCCCATGAAAGGACGACGCTACGCTATTGAGGAGATAAAGACGGCATCGACGGAGGAGCTGAACAAGATCACAAAAAATGATTTTTTA